AATAATACCTCTAATATGCCTCTGACTGAGAGTGATATACCAACACTACGTATATTCAAGATGTAAAGTAACCAGATTGATAACGGAAAACAGGATCAATGGTGCGAGTCATCTGCGAGCATTTCAAATTGAAATTAACAATTTGTGCTAGTGGGGATCGTACTCGAAATTACCTAGGTGGATTGAAAAGTACTCGGCCTAACACAGATCCATTCAATTCTAAAAATCAAATCTGCCCACATTATTTAGTTCAGTTCAGACCAGTTCATTGTGTGAAGTTCGAAACGTGTGCGATAATTAGTTGTGATTTTATAAATTTATTAACAAAGTAATCGGACAATAATTTCCGCGAATGGAGCAAATCGAGCAGCGTGCCGTCATTAAGTACCTCCATAAGAAGGGGCTATCATCAAAAGCCATCCATGATGACATGGTCAGTACATTAGGCGATTGTGCTCTGTCATATTCATCCGTCAAAAAATGGATAGCAGAATTTAAGCGTGGTAGAGAGAGTGTGAAAGATGAACCCCGCTCTGGAAGGCCTTCGACGTCAACTACTGACGAAAATATTAAAAAAGTACTTGATTTAATAATGGGAGACCGCAGATTAAAAATTAGAGAGATAGCCGAGATTATAGGCATCTCTTATGAACGAACTCAAAACATCATTGTCAACGAGTTTGGGTTTCCACAAGGTGTCTGCGAGGTGGGTTCCGCGACTGCTTTCAGTTGAACAAAAAAAGGACGCGATTGACTATTTCACGCGACTGTTTGGAGTTATTTGAAGCCGATGCAGATGATTTTTTGAATCGTTTTGTTACTATGGACGAAACATGGGTTCATTACTGTACACCGGAAACAAAACAACAATCAAAACAGTGGAGAAGACCTGGTTCACCACCCCCTAAAAAGGCTAAGTCGATTTTGTCGGCAAATAAGGTGATGGCTTCAGTATTCTGGGATCGAAAGGTGTGATTATGATTGATTATCTTGAAAGGGGTAAGACTATAAACTCTGATTACTACTGCACCTTACTACGTCGTTTACGAAAGGAGATAAAAGAAAAACGTCGAGGAATGCTCAGAAGAAAAGCCTGTTTCATCAAGATAACGCCCGTGTTCACACGTCAGTACAGTCAATGGCTGAAATTCACAACTGTGGCTTTGAACTGTTACCGCATCCGCCGTATTCACCTGATCTGGCACCATCAGACTTCTTTCTGTTCCCTAACCTAAAAAAGCACTTGGGAGGTCAAAGATTTTCGATAAACGACGAGGTCAAAGTAGCTGTAGACGCATATTTTGACTCTAAGGAAGAATAATTTTTTTCAACGGTCTAAATGCTTGGAAGGGGAGGTGGCAAAAGTGTATTGAACTTGATGGTGATTATGTAGAAAAATAAAAATATAACTGATTTAGTATGTGTTTATTTTCTTGGTTAGGCCGAGTACTTTTCAATCCACCCTCGTACATAAGGTGCATAGGCGAGACTTCATTAATAATTTAATATTGATTGATGCCCTTTATTAAAATTAAATATTAATTAACTGTAGATTTATTAAATAATTTTGATAAATCCATACATATTTACTATTAATAATAAGTCTTTACCTATGAAATTGCCGTTCTGTAGTACTGGCTATTTCAAATCAAAATAATGTTTGCTTGGCTAAGTGTTCTAATTATAAATTATTATTATTTTTAAAAGAAGTAAATGTTTTTGAAAAAATAGTCATTTCTTTATTGATAAGCGTTATGTTTTCATTGCATTTTAATCTTTTTCACCATCATGGATACGTAAAAAATTGGAGTAACTAATTATGGAATGTGAGTAGTACCGTCGTGGCAGCAACGCGCCACCTGCGGCACACAACATCAACGACGTTTACCGGAGCGAATACTACAAATAGGGAATGCAAAACCGGCCCAAGTCAAAACCCGGGTTTTTCCCGGATTTCTCATAAAAAAAACCCGGTTTTCGGTGAAACCGGTTTGAAAATAAGATTTTCTATTCTTTATATAAATTATATTGTTAAACTGGATGTTAAATTCAGGCTTATCTTTTCAATCATTATATAGATACGTACATATTAAAAGGAAATAAATACATATTCTAAATTTCAATGAAAGTGCAGAAATTTATTAAAAAAAAAGATTAATGAAAGGTTTACTAGGGTGACGCAAAGTTTTTAGAAAATCAAAAACTGAACAAACTAGCAAGTCATAAGTTTTATTAAATCTTTTCAAAATAGTGTCCATTTACATCAATACATCGCTGCATCCACTGGAACCACTGAGAAAACTTCGTTTTTTCTGGTGTTTTCTGCAAAGTCATCCATAGTAACCTGACAGGAGCAAGCAATAATAATTTACTTAATTTGTTTAATTTATTAACAAGAATTAAAAAGAAAAAATATAGAAAGTTCCAGACAGTTCCAGAATCTGGCACCTGGAATCCAGATGCTTCACTTTCCGAGCATACTGTAGAAGTTAGGTCCATAACTAAAACTAACATTTCCATAGACTAAGTGAGATTAGTTTCGTAGGTATTGGGCAGAAGACAGCCTATGCCGTTTATTTACTTCTACTAACTACAACATTCTGCCCGTGACTTCGTCAGCTTTCTATTTATGTACAACATAATTTATTAGGGATAAAAGTTTATCTATGTATCGACTATGTACCTATAAGCGTAAGTACAAGGATATAAGCTTTCTCTAATCCAATTTTCATCCAAATCTATCTAGCCGTTTAACACGTTAAAGTACCAAACATATTAAAAAACAAACTTTCACATTTATCATAATATTATATAAGTGTGTCTATCTTAATATTTAAAGTAGCAGTTTATAGGCACAGTGCACTGCACATCAACCGTAATATTTTTGTTCTAAACTCACCCAAATTGTATGTAGCAATGGAGAGTGCATGGGCGTAATTACGCTTGATGTATGCTATTGCTATGAACTAACCTATATACACTATAAATGTCAAATACTTACACTAAACTTCAATAACTGAACATCACGACAGATTCACTAAGCTCTTTCACTTAACTATTTAAAACAGTTCAAAGCTACTAAGTTACTAAACTACGATACAGTTACAGTACATACACAATACGTCTTTTCACTAGCAATGGTGACTACTGACTAGGTATTTCCCCGTATGATCTACGCGCCTAGATATACAACAATTATGGTGGTTCCCCGTCGGGGAATCACAATAAATACATCGTTTTGACAGACACGTGGAGTTTTTGAAATAATTCAAATATGACGAAAAACCGGTTTTTATGGTTTTCGGGTAATCCAGTTTGCATTCTCTAATTATAAACATCGCACCACCACCTGTTATTAGCTTTTCCTTTTCCGTTTTGGAAATTTCGACCTAAAAATGAATTCCGTGGTGATCCGAAGACTTTGGTGGACAATGACAAATTAGGGGCGATTGTGGAAGCTGACGATACTCAATCTACGGCTGAATTAGTAGTGAATTGATCCATATACGTCAAATTGACAAGGTAAATATGCCTGACAAATGAGTGCCCCACGATTTCAATGACAGTCAGCGCGAAGTACGCGTCGAGATGTGCCTTGCACTGCCAACAGGCACACAAACGAAAGAATTTGAACCACAACTTTGAACCTGCGACGAAAGTTGGATTTTGTTTGAAAATCGCAAGCGCTTAGAAAAATGGTTATATTACAATGGTTCACAGCTCCCAAAACAAAATTTCCTAAACGAAAACTTACCTTTGAAAAGTGATGGTCACTTCTTGGTGATCTAGCGCTGGTGTGATTCATCACAGCTTCTTACCAAATTGGATGAGCATTACTGCAGATATGTACTGTGAAGAACTGAACATGGTGGAGAAGCTCGCACGTCTCCAACCAGCTTTGGTCAATCACTCGTCCCTACTGATTCTGCACGATAACGCGCGATATCATATTGCACAACAGACGGTCTCAAAATTACAATAGCTAGGTTTAGAAGCTCTCCGTCATCAGCCGTACCGTAAGGTCTGGTGAGACCTTGAACTTCTACTTTTTCCAGAATTTGGATAACTTTTTGGTGGGAAAAAATTCTATACCCGAGAGGCAGTACAAAATGCATTTTAAGAAGTTGTTGCCTGCCGTCCAGCTAATTTCTTAAACTGCCACTTCGTGGGCAAAGATGCATCGATTGCAGTGATGATTACTTGGTAAATAGAAATAAAAAATATAGAAAAAAAAATACGGTAACTTATTTCATAAGATACAGCAATTTCATAGGTAAAGACCCAATACAAACAAAGCATTCTTTGTTTTTGGGTGTTTTCTTGTGGAACTACTTTTTTGTCCTATCAGTAGGTCCACGAGGTTATCTTATTTCTCTTCTGTCTACTGCTTTTATTGATACATGTATTTAAATAACAACTTTTTGTATAGTAAAATATAAAGGAAATTACAATCGCTTCGTCGCTTACAAAATATAAAAATACCACTACAACTACTTTCTTATGGAGGTTCGACACCTCTCTAGTGTGCTGGTAGAAGCAGTGCAAGTGTGCTGCCTTTATTTGTTGAAGAGATTAAATACGTAAATAAAATGTTATTCAAGAGTCAAGTTGGTTCTATCACCTTACTGTATAGGATTGCCACAACAGCTTAAACGTAGAAGCTACATAAAAAGTGCGTAGGAGTTCTTATTTTTATGACCTTGTATCTTAATTTAACTTAACGAGTAAGAAAACCACGGCATTTCTCTTTTTTAGGTAAGCGATAATTCCATATCATATTACCGCTCTTATTTACTCTTTGAAATGATAGGTATATATATTTCTAATAACTCGAAACCAAACGCAAATCGGAACAATGTGTGCTTCCATCAACAAAGCCATTAGTGGTGTCTAACTTAACTCCTCTTAGCATAATTATTGTTGTACGGTTTTATTTCTCTGCAATTTCTTAATTGACTTTTCCATTGTGTGTTTAACATGTTATTAAAATTATTTTACAGAGCCCACCACTCCCACCGTGACGGTAACCAAGACACCCTTATTGGGGTTCAATGGTACTGGCATTCGGCACGTAGAAAGTACGTCTAAAGTAAGCGAACCGCTCCTACCCGATGACAGTAAGTATTCTTATTCAATCATAACATTATAGTTGCTTAAATAATCTTATTTAATATATTTATATTTATTGAAATAAGAATAGAAGGGGAGTTGATCGAGCAAGTAGATGAGTTTGTATATTTGGGCTGCGTATTTAGCAGGGATGGGAGATATGATAAGGATATAGAACGACGAGTGAATGCGGGAAATAGAGTAAATAGGGCCTTGCACTCTATTGTGAAGAGTCAAAATGTGTCGAAAAAGGCACGTATGGCAATTCACAATGCTGTGTTGGTCTCTACCTTAACGTATGGTAGTGAAAGTTGGGTGTGGCAGAAGAAGCACGAGAGTAGAATAAACGCAGTAGAGTTAAGGAGTATGTTAGGGCTGAATCTGAATGACAGGGCAATCAATGGTTTGCAAGATGATGTTGTGATCAGGATTAAGAAAGGAATGCTTCGGTGGTTTGGTCATATGGAAAGAATGAATGAGGAAAGAGTGACAAAGAAAATTTATGGTGCAGAAGTGAATGGCAGAGTCGGAAAGGGACGTCCTAAGCGAAAATTTATCGACCAAATTGGCGATTTATTCAAAACGGGCCAAATTAGGAGTACCCTTAACCGACGAGCATGTATTCGTAGGTGTATGAATGTGAAGGAGGCAAGAGAGGTGTGTCAGGATCGTGCCAAATGGAAGTCTGTAGTCTCTGCCTACCCCTCTGGGTGACAGTCGTGAGTGTTTATGTATTATGTATGTATTATATTTATCATATAATAATGTCCTCTAGACCGAATTTCGGCCACGGCGGCCTGCCTCAACGGAGACTAGCCATCGGCGCAGGACAGGATTATATTGCCCAAGTGTAATGCGCAAGCACAGGTGCACTCTATTCCCTCACTCTCATAATCCGATGGGACGGTAAACCGACACAACCGGAGAGAGATCAGGCGCAGGACCAACGGCTTTACGTGCTTTCCGAGGCACGGGGGTGAGACACCGCCAACTTCCTGACTCCGGGCAACTACTGAGAATTTCTTGAAGGAAAAACAATAATTAATTTTTTGGCCCGTCCTGGGATTCGAACGCAGGACCTCATGATCAGCAGTCGCACTACTACAACCACTAGACCTACGAAGCAGTATATATATTGACTGACCTGATCAGAAATTTACGTTACCCAAAATATTAAAAAAGATAATGTTGCCAATCTTACAGCCATACGTGGATTCAATGGCAATTATACTATAAAGCAATCTATGGTGAAGACCTATGTTCAGCAGTAGTTATATAATGTTTAAGTTTCCAAGTTTATTTAGATAAATATCATCTCTAACAGCTTAAAAAAAGTTCTCTGAGTAATATAATTTAAACTTGATATGTACCATTAGTAGTGTCTCCAATCTTGCTAGTTTTTTGTTTTATTTTAAATTTGATGAATTTCCTGATATTCATCGGTTTAATCATCGATTTAAATGAACTTTTTAACAGGTTATTGCTCAGGGTTAGTCCATTAAAATTAATAATATACAAAAAATCTCACGTCTAAGGGTGGAAAAAATGTGAGGAAGAAATTAATGTAACTATTTAGACGATATTCTCGTTGTTCCCTTGTACTTGTGACCACTCAAAAGGGTATGAAAGTTGGTAAATCTTTCAATTACGAGGCTAATACGAGCATAGTAGGAAATGTTGTTATCGGAATTTCTTCGACCTAAAATAGCACAATAATGTGCACCTTTATTCGATTATTTTGTTTCAGCTTATTTACTTTTATATAACTACATTAATAATATTCTTGTTTGCCTTCTTTAAAAATGAATCAATGACCCATATCGAGTAAAACCATTAAGTTGTTAATGGAAAATCACCACAACGAATGAATGTTATCGACTCTTCTCGTTGATTAGTTGCGGTTCCGATGAATAATTTACCATTTCGTCTTTATCATTTCAAAGTAAAACTACAATAATAATCGTTCCACTTTAAGAATTGGAAATCAACTCAATCTTTTTTTATAAACCTTTTATAATAATAATTTTATGAATAAAAAACTGTCCGTGTAAATGTGTACACATGTACGAAGACGACCAGACGCCAACTGTTCAGTGATGTCTCAGTGATCGCAAGGGTGAAAACTGGCAGCGTACACCGAATGGTTAGAGGCACACTGAACCTAAACGTTAAGTTGGAGAGGTCTCGTCTAATGAAGTCAACGCTCCGTCCTCTTCGTGCTCTAATCCAGAATCCCGAAAACTTTCAGCTCGAGTTACGTAACCGCTTTCAGTGCCTACAAGATTGCAATGCAGTGGACGATATGAATGACAAGCTCGTGGAAACTGTCCATGCGGTCGGAGCTAAGTTCTGCAAGACCCGCCGCAGAAGAACACAAAAACTCTCCGATCACACTCTTAATCTCATGGCTGTTAGACGGGAGATGAGGCTGCAATCGTCAACAGATTTGACAGCATACAGGCAACTGAACAGACAGATCTCCAAATGCATGCGGCGAGACTTACGCAACTTTAATACTGCTCGTATTAAGAAGCGATCGAACAGAACCAGAACTCCAAAGTCTTTGCCAGAGATCTGTCTGCCAGTAAGAGCCCACTGTCAAAGCTGAAGACTGAGTGTGGCAGCATCGTTTCCGGGACACCTGAGATTTTGAGTGAGATTGAGAGGTTCTATGGGCAGCTGTACACATCTACGTTGGAGCCACACGCAAGTGTGAGTAACGATCCAAGAGCAAGTCTTATCCGACACTATTCCGATGATATCCCGGACGTCAGTCTGAGCGAGATTAGAATGGCTCTCCAGCACCTTAAAAACGGCAGGGCCCCAGACGAGGATGGAATTACAGCGGAGCTTCTGAAAGCGGATGGAACACCGGCACTTGAAGTCCTTGAGAAGCTCTTCAATTCCGTCCTCCATGGTGGCACTACTCCAGAGGCGTGGAGCAGTAGTGCGGTGGTCTTGTTCTTTAAGAAAGGCGACAACGCTCTCTTGAAGAACTATAGACCGATATCCGTTCTGAGCCACGTCTACGTGCTGTTTTCGAGAGTCATTACGAATCGTCTCGCACGCAGACTCGACGACTTCCAGCCTCCCGAACAAGCCGGTTTCCGAAAAGGCTTCAGTACCATAGACCACATACATACCTTGCGGCAGATTGTACAGAAGACTGAAGCGTACAATCTGCCACTTTGCCTGGCGTATGTGGACTATGAGAAAGCCTTTGATTCCGTCGAAATTTGGGCGGTGCTACAGTCCCTTCAGCGGTGCGGTTGACTGTCGGTATATAGATGTGCTGAAGTGTTTGTAAAGTAGGGCTACGATGGCTATCCGAGTACAGAACCAGAGATCGAAACCTATCCAACTGCAGAGAGGTGTAAGACAGAGTGACGTTATATCCCCGAAACTCTTCACCGCTGCATTGGAAGACGTTTTCAAGCTACTGGACTGGAAAGGATACGGTATTAACATCAATGGCGAGTACATCACTCACCTTCGATTTGCCGACGATATAGTCCTTATGGCAGAATCGCTGGAGGACTTAAGCACTATGCTCAATGACCTCAATAGTGCCTCCCAACGGATAAGTCTTAAGATGAACATGGACAAAACAAAGATTATGTTTAACTTAGTGTCACACCTATGCCGGTAGTTGTTGGGAGCACTATGCTCGAAGTTGTTGACGAGTACGTTTACCTGGGACAAATAGTCCGACTAGGCAAGTCCAACTTCGACCGATAGGTCAATCGACGGATTCAACTCGGCTGGGCAGCGTTCGGGAAATTACGACATATCTTCTCGTCAGGTATACCTCAATCTCTAAAAACTGGATTGTACAACCAGTGCGTATTGCCAGTGATGACTTACGGATCTGAGACGTGGTCCTTCACTGCTGGCCGTATGAGGACGCTCAAGGTCGCTCAGCGAGCTATGGAGAGGGCTATGCTTGGAGTTTCTCTGCGTGATAGACTCAGAAATGAGGATATCCGCAGTAAAACCAGAGTGACCGACATAGCCCAACGGATTAGTAAGCTGAAGTGGCAATGGGCCGGCCATATAGCTCGAAGAACCGATAACCGGTGGGGAAGAAAGGTTCTCGAGTGGCAGCCTCGTACTGGTAGGCGTAGTGTAGGGTGACCCCCCCACTAGATGGAGTGACGACCTGGTAAGATATGCAGGAAGTCGATGGATGCAGGTGGCTTAGGACCGTGCTTTGTGGGATTACTTGGGGGAGGCCTATGTTCAGCAGTGGACTTGTGAAGGGCTGTAATGATGATGATGATGATGTACGAAGTGAAACTTCATTACGACATATTCTTTTTTTATTTTATATTTTACATAATTAGGTTAAAATACTGTACTTATGCAGCTCCGGCGGTGAAATGTTAAAATATTTCTCCAGTACAGAGGAAAAGAACTTTCACACTGCCTTACTTAATTACTACTTAATAGTTAACTAACTTTTTGAAATATAAAATAGCGACCTCATTATCATCATCGTCATTACAGCCCTTCACAAGTCCACAAACTACATATTGAAAATTCTTGGAGTAATAATAACGTATGAAAATTTTCAAATAATAGCCACCATTTTATTTTTTCTAGTTGTCATTCGGTTGTGTTTTAAAAAGATTTTATGTCTACCTTAAATCTATTTTGCTAAAAATATTATAACAAAAATAAAGTTTTATCTTCTACGAGCACACTGAGGTTCGCATTGCTTATACGCAGTATAAAAAGCTTTTAAATACCGTTATTATTAACAATAACATTAATAATAAATTATTTAATAAAGCGGTATCATTAAGAGGAGTATTATAAAAAAACGCATAATTACAAGGTTTCCTCGTTGAAATTATATGTTTTACGTTCGTTGCTTGAAGTAACAATTACTTGATAAAAATATTTCGTTTTCTCTACTACACAATTAGCTCAAGGCAAATTTTATATAACTTATTTATTTATTTAGTAATAATCATTCTCCCGATGCATGTTTAGGCCAAAACTATGA